TGGACAGTCAGTTGTTACGCCCTAGTTTGGAACTCATCGACAGTTCTCACCTACCACTGGGATTCGAACCGAGTGCCTTCCGGTTACTAGGCAAGCTCGTAGACCACCCCGTGAATTCGAACTTCTGCCAATCCATGATTTTAGCACATCCACTAACTAATGTCGTTGCTGGCGAGTATCTGTCCGACCGGATAGACCCTACTGGTCATGACTTCTCATAACAACTCCAAGGAACTCTGTCCTGCGGCTAGTCATTAACGTGGATCAGATTAATTTTCAAGAGCTGGTTTGTTTTATGGTTTGACCACGATATAAAAACAATAATAACATTTTACTAATACAATTTTTCGGTGGCATAGTGGTTAGGACGCTCGTCGATGATGCACATGGCCCGGGGTTCGATACCCGGCCACCGACTTCTTTACCTCGCTAAGCCAGAAATAAAGCTGGTAAAGAGGAAAGGTTGGGGATGAGGCTAGCAACCCCATCCTGTAAAAATAAACACTGCTACAGAAACTTCAAGCCACTAGCTTGAAGCCCTATGTTCCACTGGGGAACGTGAAGGAAAAAACACGATTTTTCGAGTTACATTGCGTCACTGGCCGATATCATCCTAAACTCTAGCAGTATGCAGTGGTCCAGTGTTAATGTGCGCCTGCCTTTTAACTTGCGGGTCCTTGATTCAGCACTTTAACAGGATCCTGAATGTGTTCACTGCTGCTGAAGAGAGTTACGCCTTAGGATGTGAAAGCCCATCAAATCTTCATAAACTTCCAACCTCTTTTATTTCTTCAGTTTTATTCACATTTGATGACATCAGTTATGTTGTTTATATCATTATAACGGCTCAAAGGGAAATGAAATGTATATCAGCCTTATGTGTTCTCTCTCTGGTATATAACAAGCTTACTCGTTTTATTATTATTTCTTTGTTATTTGTTTAATCTAATTTAGGTCATCGCATATGACCTTTAATGACCTAAGTAAAATATTTTAGTTTTTTCTTCTCTAATGATGATGATGATGACTCATTTTGAGGTTGACTTGTCTATTTTTTATGAATCATTTGAAATAATAAAATATAACCAACAAGAATACTCTATTCTTTTTGACTAAAAATGTTCATTTTTCTGTCCATATAACTCATACTTTATTGATTTAAAACTATCTGTAATAGTTTTTTTGAATGAATGACAGACTGTTGTTCGTTTTCGATGGAGATTGAATGAAAATGAACTTAGGAAATAAAGTTCTCAAGACCAATGTCATAGTGTGGTAGATAGACTACTAATCGATTGTTGTTATGAGTAGTTGTCCAGATATCATTTATCAACCCGGTTGTGCTTGTGTTAGTCGAAATCTAAGTGATATTGAAGTGTTGGTTTGTAGGGATTTGGTTGATTGGTTACAGGATTTCATCATGAGCTGACATTAGTTAGAGAACCATTGGAAAACCTACAGGGAGTGCTGGACAGCTGTTTCGTCCCAGTTTGGGACTCCTCATCAGTACGCACTCACCGGGATTCGAACCCAGGACCTTCTTGTTTCAAGGCTGGCGAGCTTGTATACCATTAAGCTACTGGGACCCGACCCAATGACCCATGGATTCTAACTTCTGTCTTGTAGCCAGAAGCTCCTGGGTTCGAATCCCGTTGAGTGCGTACTGCCTTAAGAGTCCCAAACCAGGACGAAACAGCTGTCCAGTACTCTCAGGTTTTCTAATGGTTCTCTAACTAATGTCAGCTCATGATGAAATCCTGTAAAATGTAAGTGATTTAAACAGTGAACTGCCGTTTTTTCTCGTTTCCTGCCGCGCTCATGAATGCTATACCCGATCTTGACTTGTTGGCTAAGAGATTTAAATCAGCGAAATTCTGACCATATTTACGTATACTCCTTTGTGTGTGTGTGTGTGTGCATTTTTATTACCCCTTAATAAGGTTTTAATTTTCCTAGGGATATTTCTATGAGATATTTCAGTGAATTCTTTGGAATGGTCTAGCTGCGTCGGTTACTTGCTTACGTATAGGAACACTTGGATTTTAACTGTGATGCCTTACAATCTAGAATGCATATGCATTTACCAAGGTGTGTACACAACCAGTTCATGTCATTGTCCTAGCAATCACAACAGACATAATTTATTACTCAGTACATGTACTTCTACTTGTGTATTGAGTTACATCACATATCGTTTTTTGTTTTTGTTTTATTCCTTTACGTTCCCAGTGGAACATCGGGCTTCAAGCTAGAGACTTGAAGTTTCGGTAGCAGTGGTGTTCATTGTTACGGGATGGGGGGTTGCTAGTATCAAGCCCAACCTTCCCTCTTTACCAGTCTTGATACTGGCTTAGCGAAGTAAAGAAATGCGTTGGTGGCCGGGAATGGTGTCAACCATGGTCATTTTTCTGGTTTATTTACATTTCATGTCATCCTTTTGGAAATCTAGCAAAAAAACATTGACACAGTATCCAGAGTATAGTCAGTCACATGGCTTCTATGTTTTGTTTAAAATTAAGACTGAAAGATAAATGGCATACTGTTAAGCTATTCTTAAAAGGACATAAGATCATATGTGAACTAGTATATTTGAATACATTTATTCTAATGCATTTGATGATGAATAGCCTAGCGACATGTCATATACTACTATACCTTCATTAGTCCAAAATTACTTGAGTGAAAAGAAAAATATCATGGCTATTGCTTATGTGCCATGGTCTTGACTTTCACCTAATTAGTCATATGTTCTCTCTCACCTTTCTGTATCTATTATGTTATGAGCGGTGGGGGTATTGGCAAAGTTCTACGATAGCGTCCCGAAGGATGCGAACTCACGAGTGACCTTCAACCAACCAATCATAAAAATGAGGAATTTTTGCACAAAAAATGACATATATTCATTAGAAAATGCATGAAAACATATTAAACAGATTATCTTTCTCTGACGTGACTTAAAAATACGTTATGATGAAGAGTATCCGTTGCTAAGTTGGACTAGTTTCTATAGATGTATTCACCGAAGTGCCTGAAGATGTGCTGTTTTGTGAATCGTTCATCTCTCTTCTCTTGCTGTGCAGTCCTCTCCAAAGTCCTCGGTTAAATTACTATGGTTTCAGTAAGAGGATCGACGACTACATACAAGGGAAATGAGGATAAAACAAATTAAAGTAAACGACATCAATTATAAATCTATCCCTAATTGCAACCCTAACCTTAATCCTAACCCTAATAACAATCCTTATCCTGTCGTAAACCTAACCCTAATCCCAATTACGATCGTAACCCTAACCCTAACGGGATATTAACACATTGTCCAAACAGTAATTAAAAGCGTTATCTGGGTGAAACTTGCTCCTTATTTGATGAATAGCGTTGATATTTCAGCTATGATAATGATAAGTGCCGTTAGCCAACGACTAGCATGCGTTCAAGGTCACTGAAGCGTTCGCACTCCTGGGACGCTATTGTTGAACTTCGCCGGGGTATTATTATTAGTCCTTGTAAAACTCATGTGACTTAGTATCTACCGCATTTCTGTCTAGCAGATTAGACATGAATTTGTAAAGCAACACTCACACAACTACTGCCTTTATACCTTATCATCGTCAAGCTTACTTTCGAATAAGGTTAACATCAAAGTTAACGAATAGTAGTTAGAAGTTGGCTATGGTGTTAAGGTTTAGATGTCTGGCTGACTGATTGATTGACTGACTAACTGCTAAGTTATCCACATGACATTGGACTATTGGCGAACTAGTATTTAGATAAATTTATTCCAATGTATTCATCATTCGTATAGATTAACAACAACATGTATGATTGATTAGCTTCAGTCACCTTCACAAGGTTTATAAGTTTGTTTGTTTGACTAACCTAACTAACTGACTAACAACTGGTCATGCGAGCTGCATCATGTGACCGGATGAACAAAGAACACTATTTCTTTAGGAAAATAACATAAAGACAATTTAAGTGTTCATGTCATCTAAACAGGTCAGTTATGTGAGGTGTTTTAATTCAATTTGAAAACAAAAGACTTTTTTGTATATATTGATAATTTTACATATATATTTTTGAAACTCTCTCTCTCTCTCTCTCTATATATATATATATATATATATATATATATATATATATATATATATTGATAACATGCACGAATTTCAAGCTGGTTGGGTGGTTCACAATTATAAATGTCCAATGATGTAATGAGTACTTTTTTCCGAGTTCTCAAGCGCGCACAACTTGATGATGACGATGAGTGTTATAACAACATTTGCCAGTTTTTGCAAAATCTATGACTCGAAAACACTTTCCTACTTCTCTATTATAGTATTGTACCTTTCATTTACTCTACTATAAGCTCTGTGACAGGTTTTACTATCTTTTTTTTATTCATTACACAGTTTGTCTACTTGTTCACACCATGATATTCAGTGTAATTATTTTTAATAATTTTTATCCTTCCTTTCACTAATGATGAACATTGGAATTTAGGGTATGTATTCAACTGTTTAGTAATCTTCAGATTAATTAGTAAACGCGTTTATGCAAGGGTACTTGCTCTAAAATCTTGAGTCCATTTAACGATTTCACTTTTTCACGGATCGATACACGTTAGAGAACCATTGGAAACTACCAAAGAGTACTGGACAACAGTTTCGTCCTAGCCTGGGACTCTTCATCGGTACACGCACTCATGACCCAGCTGGGAATGGGACCTAGAACCTATGAGGTTAGGAGGCTATATTTGTTAACCACTCAGCCATTGGGATGAAATCCCAATGATCAGTGAATTCTAACTTCAGTCAATTTCCGATTTTAACACTAACTCCGCCTCCCCCCTTCCCGCGTTGATCACCACTTTACTTTGTAAAAATCGTCTGCTTTGTTACTAAACTGAATGAATCAGAGTTTTAACTGTATCTGCTCAATACTATTTGACTGTTTATTAATTCACATCGATATTTTTGCTCCTCTTTTCTTCTTCTTTACAGATGGACCATTTTTTCCTCCACCAGTAGATGAAATGATGGAAATTGATAATACAGAAATAACAAATAGTCCATCGAAACGATTACGTATTGAATATCCATTCCCATCGTCTACACCACCATCAGCACCAGTATCATCGCCACCATGCTACAATGAATCCTCATATCTAGTCAGTATTAAATAAATAAAAGAAAATCGAAACAAGTTCGTATACCTCACACATACACACACACACATATCTTCACTGTGATACAAGACATGAAGTATCTCTTTACTTTTCTCTCTCTCTCCTTCCACCCTTCTTTCATTCCTTCCCTCTCTTCTTTGTACCTATGCGAATTGGAGCATCGAACTTGTTCTCCCCTGTTGTTCGCATTTTTAACAAAAATAGGAAGAACCAAACTTCATTGTTTCTCGATGGAATCACTTAACTTCTTCTCACTGGTATTGAGGATGATGGCGGCGTGAGCTGGTTGTTGTATTCCTTTCTTCTTCTTCTTCTGCGGCCTCTTCTTCCAGTACTACTACTACTACCTACTGCTTTTTCCCCATTACAAAATACGCGTTGACAAGACCACTTTTGTTGTATAAAAGTTTCATTTTAATGTCTTCCCTTTCATCCATTATTTGATTGACCTGTTTATGTCTTTATTCCAATATTTCTTTTTCATGCTTATTAATTAAATAACAATGTATATAATAAATATGTATGTATGTAATTTATTTGACAATATGAGATGATTACTGCACAGCAAGCAGCAGCATATATATGTAAGAAAAGAAATGACTGAACTGTTGCTTCGTTCGTTCACATCATTTCAAGTTGTATATATTCATCACAGTTCACAGGAATTGTTTAAATAAATTGTGTAAATTTTAAGGTATTATCTATAATACATATTTGTTTCTTTGATTGATACCTTCTCATTGATGCATGAAACTTCTAATCCCTTTAGGCTTGATTTAGGAATACAGATACAAACGGAATGACAATGATAAAAATAATAATAATAGTAGGTATCAGATAGAGAACCAATGACAACCAGGGAGTACTGGACAGCTGTTTCATCCTAGTTTGGGAATCATCGGCAGTATGCACCTACTACTGCCAGGGTTCGTACCCAGGACCTTCCGGTTACAAGGCAAGCTCGTATACCATTCAACCACCGGTACCGGATTCAATGAACCAGTCCATGAATTCTAACTTCTACCAATCCATGAATTAAACACGACTGGCGCCAACTAATGTCGTCGGTGGGAAATCCATTCTCACACTAGACTGATTGGATCTCACTTGTCAAACTCGTAAAAACAAATCTAATCCTTACAAGCCAACTCTTGAACATAATAATAATAATGTCAATTTTTGATTAGACACTGAGCAGTAGTTGATGTTATGCGTCTACTCCTAATGTTGGGTGCAAACTGGATTCTATCACAGTCAAGTTTTTAATATGGCCGGCATGGAATCATAGTGCACTTTGATTTGTTGATATTAAATAGTTGGAGAAGGTCAGCAGAGAAGCCTTGCTTGACCTTCTGAGATTCTAATTCAAACCAGTGAGTCGGGACATCCCTGACTGTAGCATTAGTGACCTGAGCTCGAATGTCAAGAGGAATATGAATTCCTTCTAGACTTCAGGTGTATGCCTTGCTGACGAGTGCCGAAAAGCACGAAACCCAGGTCAAGCAAGGATTCCTACCAGTTGCTCCTAACCATCTAATAATAATGTCAATCTTGAGCTAAACGATGGAGATTAGAAGCATATTCAATTTGAAATAATTTAATCGATAAAGTGTCATAGTTTATTTTTTATGAACTCATTGTTCACTGCCAATCCAGGGAATAAAAACAAGGTTGTTTGTTTGAAATCAACTTTATAGAGTAAATGACATGATACTACTGCCTCATACGCGTTATTTTCCTTCACGTTCCCCAGTGGAACATAGGGCTTAAAGCTAGTGGCTTGAAGTTTCTGTAGCAGTGTTTCTTTTTACAGGACAGGTTTGCTAGCCTCATCCCCAACCTTTCTCCTTTACTAGCATTATTTCTGGCTTAGCGAGGTAAAGGAGTGCGTCGGTGGCCGGGTACCGAACCTCGGACCATGTGCATGGTCAGCGAGAGTCCTAACTGCTGTGCCACCGACGCACATACGCGTTAGTCTATGATTATCGGATTTTCCAATTGTATTTGTATAGCTATACAAACTTAGAACGACATGCATTATCCTTCTGTCTGCAGCAATTGTACCGCATCACCACTCTAATTTTAGCATTAGTTTATTAAACTGCTTTGCCTGTTTATACAAGTTAAAGTTAATGATAAGAGTTAGAGTCTACTTTGCCCCAGTTGTTGAGTAAATGAGTAAAGTTAGTATTAGTTAGTTAGTAAACTTTAGTTAATGAGTAAAGTAGTAATACTCGTTTGGATTACTTACACTCGCTTTGTAGTAACTAAAGATTAGTTCATAATTTAAGTTCCATACCAAGCAAGGGGTTGACTGACAGTGAAGTAACGTGAAAGTATGAAACTGAAAATATGAAAATTTGATTTTCGATGATGCCATTTTATAGAAAATACTACTCAAAGTTGTGTCAAACTGATAATAGTAGTATATTACTGATTAACCTAGAATCAGTGTAGAGATCTAAAACACAATAACAAATCTATGAGTTTTTGCATTAATGAAAACAAAACACGTAGTTCAGTGAAGAGTCTGTTTTCGGCGGCGAATTCATTTTCTTAGCTGTACGGTTGTTTTGTATGTGTGTGTACATTAAGTTTATCAAACAAAAATACAATTGGTTATGGTTATTTTAACTAAACAGGTGAAGATTGGTTGTTGGAGTTACGTAATAAAAAATCAGTCAAGAAAATTAGGTGTTAATGAAATTAGGGTAGTAACAAAGGCGATGAGTTGTCATACACAGTTGTTAAAAAAAAGTTATGTAATAATAGGGATAGTTTGATGATTGAGTTTTACTCAGGATGCACATAGGAGCGAGGTAGAGAATACGAAATTACCTAGGAGTTCTAAATGAATACAAGAATTATAAGCAATTAAAGAAACAGGCGAACAAGTAGAATTATGTCATCAAAAATCAACGAAGTTGTTACCACGACAGTAGGTATGCACAGCTCCGGTTTTTCTATGTGAATGGCCAGAGCTTTAGCGATACAAAGAAGACGAAACCGTATTGCCACCTTTGGTAGGTAATTCGTGACTCTGCAGATTACTTTGAAGCAGGCGTTTTTGTTGAGATGGAAGGAGCATTAATGTCGAACCGGGGCATCTATATAGTGAAGGGACTAGCTGGGCTCGTCTGACGAAAAGCATTTCCCAAAGAGCTATTTTCTCTAGATAATGAAGACTAGATAGCTGGCTAGAAAAGATTAAGCAGCAACCAAGCTATCGCTTAACAAATGTGTAGAAGGGAATGGTAATGGGTTGGACATAGGCCGAGGAGATTATTCAAATGACATCATACGTCGAACACTAAGGTTAGTATGATTGGCTCCACGAGGATAAGTAATTTAGAGAAGAAAAAAAGCTGACCAATTGTACTGCATGCACTAACAATGCACAAATACACGATAGGGTGAGAGAGAGAGAGAGAGTTAAAATTTTAAGAAGTAATATAGGTAGGTGGAGATAGAGTGAGGTCGATTACTGAATCCTTGTTCATCGAGTTTACACTCAACACGTGCAGTAGAAATAACTCATCACTCATACCCGATATCTGGAAAATACTATTATTACCAATCAAGTCAAGCTATGGAAAATAATGGAATTATATAAACGAAGTTAGAAAGTTGTGTGAGTACCTTGTTATGATTATGATCGGGAATAAATTGTGCTCGAAACGTGGTCACTAGTAAATATTACTGTATAACACTGAGACTTTATCGAAATAAATTTTACCCATCATGGATCTATACTCTACCATAGTGCACAATTTCTATTCTTATATCAACGCCCAGACATAGTCGAAGCATCTGCACAAGAAGCCGGCACTACGGTCCAATCAGTCGACGGGAAAATCTAAAATTGAATTAAATGAAATAGAGGATATTTGATACATTTTTTTGGATAGATAGATAGCTAGGTAACCCAATGATTTAAATAAGTGCCAAAGCCATGGTTGTACACACAAATGTAACAGCAGCAACTTTCTACACTGTCAAATTTAAAGCAATTAGTTACGTTAACGAAATTCAACGAAACACTAATATGACGTAATTTATCTGAAACGCTTTTGAATGCTTCAAAAGAATGGTTACTGAACAAAGAATATTCTTTTCGATAACCTGCTCTTCATCAGGTTCTACAGTTATATATATACATTATAGTGAATAACGAATTAGTGTTATTAACAGCATTAGTGTTGTTTAAATAACATCGAATCAATAATTATATCAGTAGATTACAGTTCAATAGCATCAACATAACAATAAAGTGAATGTCAGAAAACACATTAGGAAAGATAATATTACAAATTCATGAATTTATAGTCTCCAATAAAGGCCAGTCAGGGCAGTAGTAGTGGCTAGACTTGTTTCTTCTATACACAGAGCACCGGTAGTTTCAGGAGAATCGCGATAGCCTCCGCTGTTTGTAGTATGAGGTACCTGAATGTTTTCGGCAGTTTATTTGGTGTCCGATAGATGATAGAGAAGGATTCTTCAATGCCAGCTGACTTTATGGCCGGTTTGGACCATGTTGTCTAATATCGAACTGTTGGTGGTTTTTACTACACCTTTACTTAGTGGCAGTGGTATGTGTTCCCGAGCGAGCACGAAAAATCAAGTTTCTAGAGCAACGGTCAATATAACTCACTCCACAAGCGCAGTTGAATGTATTTGCACAAAACATTTCGGACAGTCTGATCACACATATACTTGTCATACATATTTACATAAAAGGCAACATAGCATGAAGGATGACAATTTTTATCAGTAGAGGTCAGAATGTCTAAGTGGTCACAATCACAGGTAAGAAGTAAGAAAATGGGGTAGGAATATTATTGAGTCAAATGAACTTTGTTTATACAACAGGTTCAGAGTTATGATCACCAAAGTTTGATCACTAAACAAATTCTCAACATGGCACTTAGTGTGACTTATTATGCAACTAAACTCATTATCATAGAGGAGATGTGATTTAAAACAATTAGTCCCTTTTA